TAACCGTTTACATTTAATTTGATTGAATTTATATGCAATATTTATATTTTAATTTATATTTATATTTAAAATAATATTTTTTTATTATATTTATATTTATAAGCCTTTCTTACTTAAATTTACATTTTTTAAACGGGCAGTTCAGAAGACGGGGCACGGAAGCCACGTCATGTTGGTAACATTGACAATTCGAAGTAAGCGGCAGGCAGGTTGCCAGTATGGATACTAAAAAAGTCCCACACGCCCCTGCTCGCCCCTCCACGCAACTCTCCATCAATTCCAGAACATGAAAGGATCCATAATGTCATATGGGTTCAAGTTATGACCAAATGTTACAGGACCACTTTTGTTAGCTGTATTGTTCTACACCTTTTAATTTTCTAACTCTTCTCTAGAGTCATTATTAAAAGAATTAATAAATACTAGTGTACATGTTGCTCGAATTCGAGCAATTGCAAATATTACAGAAGATATTTCAAAACGAATAACAGTCATATTTACAACGAATTTAAAAGAGTCAACTCAAAGATTACCGGTGTGTAACTCAGACTATGTTTATCTTCGTTATTGATAAACCTAAAGCATTCGGGCCGGTTTTCTCCTTCTCAAAATGCCTCGCTGTACAGGCAACACAGGTCATTTATAGAGGGCCAATTGAGAACGAAAAGTCGTTTTGGGGTAGTGTTAGGGGGCATTTGTAACCTAATAGTTGAGATTGTCCAGGGTCAGGTGCTGACTGTGATGAGTTAAGCCTAATACTCGCCACTGTTCTGTGAGCTGCGGTCGTTATCACGATTACGCCTCCTGTCTATATGTGTTGTTGTCGTCACGTCGGAGGCATATAAAAGAAAAAAAACAACAAATAAACAAATGATAGCTACACAAAACAACGATAAATGTTACAATCGTACTAACACGATCCGTCATAGCTACACAAAACAACGATAAATAAATACACAAATTTAAGATACTGTACAACCATACTAACAAAATCCGTCTTGGAGGTTATGTTTACACAAACTCAAATAGTAAATAAATGTACTCGATGGGTTTCATTGAATTGAAAAATAAATAACAGCAATTAAATTAAACAGCTGACCAAAATGTAAACACTTATGTTCTTCATAAGGATAACATGGGAACTTTCAAAGCCACTGGGGCAGAGCCCAAGGGACTTTTTCAAAAATGTAAAAAGTTTGCAAATCTACGCGACACGTTCTTTCCAATGAGATGTCAATGGATAAAATCGGTTAAGAAATGGCGGAGGAGTTCAACCGACAAAGTTTCATGTAGCGTATTAATTATATAGATTTTCGTAATGAGCGACATTTCCTACCTGTAGGCTAAACGAAACGTGATACGTATATCTATATTTAATACGTGAACACGAAGTTTGTCGGTTGAACTCCTCCGTCATTTCTTCCGATTTTATCCATTGACGTATCATTGGAAAGAGCGTGTCGCGTAGATTTGCAAACTGGCCTTGAACTGGATTTGAAAAAGTCCCTTGGGCTCTACCCCAGTGGCTTTGAAGGTTCCCATGTTATCTATACTTATTTAATACGCAAGCAGGTTTTTTGTGACAATTACTCCTCCGAAACTACTGTACCGATTGACATGTTTATGGTGTCATTGGAAAGAGCGTAACGTGAAGTTGTGCAGGAAACTTTCTTTTTAGGGAAATAATTAGAGAGTGAGGTCCTGGGGCCCTTTAAAGTTTCGTATTTCTCCATAAGGATAACATGGGAGATAATTTTTATTTACAGAAACATATGTTTGTTACTTGAAAATAGTCAAAGTCTACTACATAATAATTGCTGTGTATTATGACTGTTAATGTATACTACATTTCAATCAATGATTAAGTACCTTAAAGTTTACTCATAATGGATCTGACTACTTTATTTTTAATGCTGGGAATAGTAAAATTCAGTTGAGACTAAGTTACTATGATTTAGAAAACTTTACTATAATAATTTATGTATGTAAAATCACAAATTTTTGACATTCTTAATTCATTAGAAACGAAACAGCTTATCGAGAAATCAAACAAATCATCTACTTCATGTGAATAATCTTTTTACACAAACATTGTTTTTTTACCAATAACTTGATTCTATTTTACTTGTGGGTGTATTTTGAGTTTGCAGTTATGAAAGCGCCAAGCCAAGTAACTGTTATCTAATTTTCTTTATAAACTAACAGTGGTAATGAATTATTACATGAACTTGACAAGTCAGGTAATTAATTGTCAGTATACCAAGGGGAAGAAGAGTGGGTCCTCGAAAACAGTCGAAGGCGGAGACACCCATCTAAAAAATCGAACTGAGTTTTTAAATATAGAGGTCAGTGGATTGCCAAGACACAGATTATACTAATAAAAGGGGACAGTGGTTTTATTGATATTAAAACATCAAAAAGGGCCTCATTAATGGCACAAGGCTTCATGTGATCAGAACGGTTAACAACAATGTTAAGTAGAATGTAAAGTCCTAACTGGGACAAATGGGTAGGGACATATTTTGATTTTGAGGATACAAATTTGCCCGTCTGAAACAAACTTACCTTTTAAAATGGATAGATGCAAATTTCTGTTATCTTTGGCATTTGCAGCACAAGCACTTTAATTAAAGAGCAGCACTCTTCTTAGTCACTCATCATCACCAATTTCAGTCATGAACAACTGTATATATGTTGTTTTAAGTAAGGCTACATCTTTTAATAGGATACGCATATTCATTACGGAAAATTCTGACCAGGGTAATATTCCTGAAGGTAGCTTTAAGACTAAAATCGTAGTATTCATGGAAATGCTTTGTGATAAAAATATATTGTTTAGTGTTTATTTTTAAAAGAGTTTTCTTCAAGCAGCATTTTATGACCCTCAAAATATGCTACATAGGCCTATTGGTTTGATATGATTAAATGTTTTGTTAAATGTGTTTTTTATCTAATAAAAAAATTACTACCCTATAACATACTTGAACACTTATTAATTTACTAAATATAATATGCATAACGCTAGAAAATGGCTGGACTGCTTCCCTTCTAAGGTTTTATTATTACTGTATTTAATTTTCGACGTCAAGTCAATGTATATCAAGATAATTGTTATATAAATTTATATGTTTTTGCGGGGCGTTGAGCCGCACAGGTTCACTAGTCCTTATAAAGATCATAATTGTTTAAATTTTGATCAGCTGTATAATTTAATTGCTGTCAATATTTAAACTGCATTTCAAAGAAAAGCGTCCTACAAAAATTAAATCTTTGAAAAATAAATCATTGAAAGAACCCATTTGCAAATTATTGAAACATTAAAAGTCATAGAACGCCCCCTAGTAGAAGAAATAGAGATAATATTTTTTTAAAGAATTAACTATCGTCATTAGCCTGTATAATGAAGAACACCTACAAGATTCAGATTCCTACAAACTATGAACGAGGATGTTAGCCGAAGTGCTACAAATTTTATTAGGAAACATGGACTTAAATTTGTAATCATTGCAGAGGAAAGCCCTCTAAAGCCAAATTAATCTGGTACGTCAATGACATTAACCTATGTTTTCATAAAAGTCAAGCCATTTTAATAATAGCCTATGAAAATATCCAAGAGCCCCTTACCAACATTTTACTGAAGGCTTTTAATTATTATTCATATGCTAAGCGAAACAAAAATCATCTGAACAACAGAAGGTCTTTAACTTTGCATTTCTCAGGTAAATATAATTAACGTTATTGCAACTAAACAAAAAATACACCAATTGAACAAATAAAATTGTGACAGACAATTTGATGAAAAATAAGTACGACAACGAATTTAACACAAACAAAAAACTAACATTTGGATTATGAGTTAAAATTCTGGTGACGCAATAACAACGATAAATATACAGAAAATCAAAACAAATTGAAGACTGGTACACAATCATCACATGTTTGATTTTCAGCGTGGGATGAACATAGATAAGTTCATATTTTATTTGGATTGTGGTCGAGTTTTGACCACTGGACGACATCAATTCTTATATTAAAGTACTTAACTCATTAAGGTACTTCAATAATACCTAACTGATAAATACCTTCTATTTAACTCAAATAAAACAATCTGGTATTAGGTATAGATGTATTTACTCAAAAACCTATTTCTATGATAATTTAGTCACGAAATCCAAATGTTTAGACCTATCTATAGATTATATCCGCTTGTTTGGATCATACAAGTCTAGATAGTATTTTTAAAATTTTAAATATGGTATTTTTTTATTAAACCCATTATACACTACAGACATTTTGCGTACAATTTACTTTGCTAACATACACTCTCATATTTGTTACGGAATAAAGATTTATGAGGGAACAAGTAATTGTAACTATAATCAAATTTTATATTTACAAATGAATGCTACAAGATGAAACCTTAACCTGGATTAATACTGTTTAAATTTGTTCCGAAAATAGGAGATGAAAAATAGTGGAAAAAAAGGCACTACGACTTATTTGCGTTGTGCACCACGAATATTATGTAGAAAAAATTTCGAAATTTCGTACATACAGCTTAAGAAGTTAAGACTAAATATTTTTCATAGTTTAGAAATTTTAAAACGTGAACTAATACTGTATTTCCTTAATATTGTTGTTGGAAGACGGCAATTGCTAAAATACTGTGCGCGTAAACTAATTCATTCACCTCATGGTGGTCATCTAAGTAGATTATTGGACAAACTAAAAGTCTTACGAAAAAATGTTTGGAACAAAAATTGAAGAACATCTTATTATCTATACTTTTCTCGCTGAAAGTTTTCATCTGACCAAAAAATAAAAAAAATCCTCGCTCACTTACTTTTTCATGTTTACATTGAACAACCTTTTCATATTTTCCATTATTAAACATTAATCATCTGCACGAACTAAATTGTATTTATATAGTATTAAACATCAGTTTACGCAGAATTTAAATATGTAAATTTCATCCTCTCACTATTTGTATTACAATTTAGACGAACGTGCAAAGCGACAGGGAACGCACCACTTCGAATAATCTCGCCAACATCGGAAACTCTCTTCCAGCATGTGTGTGTGTAATGGGTGCGTGTGTGTGCGTACGTTATCGCTTCCTGCACAGACTGTACCCATTGTCACTTGGAGTTATGAAACTTGGTGTTATGAACCCTTGGAGTTATGAAACTTGGACTTGTGGTCCTTGCAAATCTGTACGTTTGGAGTTATGAAATTTTGTATTTTAATTTACTTGGTTTTATTTTAACTTGGACTTATGAATCTTGGAGTTATGAACGATTGGAGTTATGAAACTTGGTCTTATGATATTTTGGTTTTAATTTACTTGGACATAATTTTACTTGGAGTTATGAAATGTTGTATTTAAAAGTACTTGGAGTTATGAAAACTTGGAGTTATGAACCTCACCCCTATTATATAGAAGAGGTGGCGTCTGTCTGTCTGTGTGTGTGTGTGTTTGTATGAGCTAAACTCAAAAACTACAAAACCGGCTGGGCTCAAATTGGACAACAATATAAGGCTACCACTCCGAGGATACACATAGAACTATTCCTCCTTCGATATTGACCTATGACTCTGACCCACAGGCTTTCGAAATTCGTAGGTGAGAGATAAGTAAATATTGATTGGTCTCCATGGTAACAAAGTACAATCTACCAAAGTTTACATGTAAACAAGTAGAAAAATGTCGAATGCATTTTTATTCCAAATTTCCACACAGCTGGTTTAAACTTAATATTTGTGTGTAAGCAATAATAAGATCATCTGCCTCAGCAAACCTGCAGACTTAGTGAATTTCCTTTTGTCTGAGCATAATTTCACTGAAATATTTTGGAAAATTGCACTATTGGCAGATTTGGAACTACTGTGATAGCTTTTCGTTTACACAACAAACAACAACATGTAATTGATTATACAAAATATTTAATTGATTTTGTGTTCTAGGTGTCTTAAAAATGTGTTCACAGTCTGAGTTAACAAAAACGTAAGGCATTTTCAAAGAACCAACACTGTCTCTTTTTCATACTGATCCCGTTGCAAGGCACGGGTATGGCTGCTAGTAGTTTTATAAAAATAATACTGGGTAATAAGTTAAGTTCGATTTTGGTAAAAGAATTGTACAAAATTGGTTGAGCGACGCTTCTAATTGTCAATACTATTTCGGAAAAACCTTAAAAACAGTCCAACAAACAAAGGATACGTAATAAATTATACAAAAGAGAAAACATTTTGGGACATTTTTTGGGTTTTGTCTTTGGCAAACGCGATTTACAACTATTAACGAAGTGACGTTTAGCTAAACCCTTTTACGTATGTAATTAAAGTTCAATAAATAATTAATGCGAAAATAAAAATAATTATATCACCTAAGACAAGTGAAAAGAGAACTTAAAATAAATTTAATGCTACAACTACAATCATTGATGTTAAGAAAAAAATGTTATAACAATATTGTACTGAATATAATCATCACCAATAGGATTATTATAAATACACCACGTCCACCAATAGATCACAACAGCGTCAACCATACTGACAGTTGCAACCACATCAGCGTCAGCCATACTGACAGTTGCAACCATACAGGCAGTTGCAACCACAACAGCGTCAACCATACTGACAGTTGCAACCACAACAGCGTCAACCATACTGACAGTTGCAACCACAACAGCGTCAACCATACTGGCAGTTGCAACCACATCAGCGTCAGCCATACTGACAGTTGCAACCATACAGGCAGTTGCAACCACAACAGCGTCAACCATACTGACAGTTGCAACCACAACAGCGTCAACCATACTGACAGTTGCAACCACAACAGCGTCAACCATACTGACAGTTGCAACCACAACAGCGTCAACCATACTGACAGTTGCAACCACAACAGCGTCAACCATACTGTCAGTTGCAACCACAACAGCGTCTACCATACTGACAGTTGCAACCATACAGGCAGTTGCAACCACAACAGCGTCAACCATACTGACAGTTGCAACCACAACAGCGTCAACCATACTGACAGTTGCAACCACAACAGCGTCAACCATACTGACAGTTGCAACCACAACAGCGTCAACCATACTGATAGTTGCAACCACAACAGCGTCAACCATACTGTCAGTTGCAACCACAACAGCGTCTACCATACTGACAGTTGCAACCACAACAGCGTCAACTATACTGGCAGTTGCAACCACAACAGCGTCAACTATACTGGCAGTTGCAACCACAACAGTGTCAACCATACTGGTAGTTGCAACCACAACAGTGTCAACCGTACTGGTAGTTGCAACCGCCATAGCGTCAACTATACTGGCAGTTGCAACCACAACAATGTCAACCGTACTGGTAGTTGCAACCACAACATCGTCAACTATACTGGCAGTTGCAACCACAACAGCGTCAACCGTACTGACAGCTGCAACCACAACAACGTCAACCTTACTGGTAGTTGCAACCACAACAGCGTCAAACATACTGGCAGTTACAACACAACAGCGTCAACCATACTGGCAGTTGCAACCACAACAGCGTCAACCATACTGGCAGTTGCAACCACAACAGCGTCAACCATACTGGCAGTTGCAACCACAACAGCATCAACCATACTGGCAGTTGGCAACCACAACAGTGTCAACCATACTGGCAGTTGCAACCACAACAACGTCAACCTTACTGGCAGTTGCAACCACAACAGTGTCAACCATACTGGCAGTTGCAACCACAACTGCATCAACCATACTGGCAGTTGGCAGTTGCAACCACAACAGCGTCAACAATACTGGCAGTTGCAACCACAACAACGTTAACCATACTGGCAGTTGCAACCACAACAGTGTCAACCATACTGGCAGTTGCAACCACAACAGCATCAACCATACTGGCAGTTGGCAGTTGCAACCACAACAGCGTCAACAATACTGGCAGTTGCAACCACAACAACGTTAACCATACTGGCAGTTGCAACCACAACAGTGTCAACCATACTGGCAGTTGCAACCACAACAGCGTCAACCATACTGGCAGTTGCAACCACAACAGTGTCAACCATACTGGCAGTTGCAACCACAACAGCGTCAACCATACTGGCAGTTGTTGTAACCACAAGTACACATTGTTGCTTTGTGTATCACCCAATCCACCAGCTGGTGCTGAAGTTTAATGTTGTACTTCCGGTCTCTTATCAGTTCCTCTCGAGGGTAACATCCGGTTTGTTACAGCTGTCATATCACAGGTATAAACAATAAAGGTTTGTCACAAAGGGATCCATTTACGGTCAATATTATTGTGCCATATTTAGTGCACAACGTTATTGAACCTGAAGGGATAAAGGCTAAAACAGATTTCGCAATGTATTAAATTAATTTTAAAAGTTTAATAAAATATTGCACAATCTTCAAAATATTTCGCGTATGGGTAATATTGCTCAAAATCTTCCAGTTCTCTGTCCATCTGCAAATTCTAGGGTTGTTTAAATTGTGGGTTCTAAATAGTTTTGCTTCTTAAATTGTGTAATAACGTTAAATATAGTTTTGTTAAAAACTCTACTGTGTATGTTAATAAAACATACATCCAATTAGTTAAATATGCAGAAAATATACAAAACTACATAAATAGCTTTTAAAAAGTAAAAGTTTACATACATTTGTTTAAAATAAAATGTTTTACCGAAGATAACATCAAGCTCTTTCTAGTTGAAATGTACCAAATTTACGTGAGCTTTCACGGTTGTAACATCATAAATAACATAGAAGTGTGAACCAAGTTATAAACTGTCAATAAAACCTGCTCTTGTTCTCAGGTAGTTTTGATTTATCGTTTAGTTGTCTTGAAGTGTTCACAGCTTTAACAACACATTGTGCCCAATGTATCACTGGGCAATTCCTTTTAAAAAGAGCTTTTAATGTTTCTATCGACAGAATTAAAGTAGGAATATTACTAAGTCAAAATATAGATTCTGTTAGTAAATAAGCAGCCCAGCATGCAGAGATCAATTAAGCTCATTGATTTCTAACTATGTATTTTATTTTAATAGGAGTACATGAATAAAATAATTATAAAAGCAATACTTTATAAACTGTTATTCATTGAGTTCTTCAACTCCACTGAGAGAGGTTGATCAATACAGGTACTGTATTTTTTTGCGGATTTCACCTACCTATAAGAAATTGCTTGTGGGGAGAGGCTAAAAACACTTATGTAAACATTCATACACCCGTGTCCATCAGAACAATAACTCGAACAAAGACCATCCGATGTTGATTAAATTAGTACAAACGTGTACACTCTTATTAGAACGAGTTCAAGAACCACCATGATCGGACTATAGAAACGAGGTTTATATGGGGTGAAAATTGTTTTTTTCTTCATTTTTGACCCCCAATTTATAAACTTTTGTATTTCCTTTCAAAATCATTTTTCGAATAGTAACAAATAATTTTGTATATTTAAGTGTTGTTTTGAGTCAGTGTTTATAGAGAAAAATAAAATAAAATTGTATAGGTTCATATATTATTTTCATGGAGTATTAATCAACTGTTGTAGTTTGCTTGTCAATGGATATAGTTTTATATTTTTTTTATATTACAAACTAAGTCATTAACAATAAAAAAACAACCTCCCTGATGCACCAAACATAATTAATCGTTAAACCTAATAGGAGAGAACAACTATCTCTGACAATTTTATGAAAATATTTTAGAGAAAATCTAATTAGGAAATTGCAAATTCGCTTATTCTGCAGGTTTTCTGCTGTTGGGGTATTATTGATTTATGAATTAATGTACGTTTTATCGCATTACCAGTACTTTAAAAACAACAAATTTCCATTCAGTTCCACGCTGGAGTCAAACTGAGTCAAACAGTGGGATTAGCAAGGACGATCCTCTTAACAGAGTGCACGAAATTGTTGTGATAAAAGCTTTTGATGGAATTTAACATGAAGTCCGAAATTGCTTTGACAATAATACATTTGACACATGAACTTTTGAGTTTAGAACCCCAGCCACTGTTGAATGCCTCTTGTTACAGTAGAATCGCAACAAAAAAGTTGAAAAAGTGGAAATCAGTTATCAGTTCATATAACACATAATATTGCATACAGTTTTCAATTGGTTAGTTTCCAATAACAGCTATTATGTAAAATCCGACAACAGTCTTAATTATTATTAAGCTTTAAAATCTGTTTTATTTAACTATACGTGTAGGAACTTTATACAACTAAAATAATTTTAAACCAATTCTTAATTTTGTTGTAAAAACTTTGCGTTTGACATATAATTTATCTCAGCGATTTTGTATATTTTATATACGAGTAATAGTCAAGGAATATGATTACGTATGGTTTAATATTGTTCATTAACAACTTGATGTAAAGCCAAACCAGTTTCTTCAAGTATTCGTAATGTAATAAAATTTCAGATTCAATATTATACTCAATCACCAAATTCGGCCGTTTGGACTTTATAAAATGTACGACTTTATTAATCACCCCAAGAATCAGATGAAAATAACTAATGTAAAATGTGATTAGACGAGTGAGACCAATCGATCGAGTAATTTACTTACTTAAATTTTTTTCATTGAAATGGTGACCATATGGTATTTTATATGGTGATCATATAAAGTAGGTACATGAGTGTAGGATGAGGGGCGCGATCTTGTAGTCTCGTTTGTGACTAAGGTCGACATATTCCTAAGACACAGTTGTTAATTAATAGCCCCTACATCATTGAGTATACACCCTATATACAAGTGAATAAAATGAAAACCTTAAGAGGGTTCCACTCGTCGTCTGGTTACTACGTAAACATTGTCCTACAAAAAAGAACCTCGTGACATTACTAAAGTTTTTATCGAGTTTAAATTAACTTAAAAATATCCACAATGATCCTGACTATGTCCTGGGTGGACTGAAACTTCGTATTTGTTTCTTTAAGTATTTACAAAATTATTTTGAAAATCCATAAATTAGTCTTTTCACGTGTGATGTTACCTTCTAAATAATAGTTCAACATTCATTTATCCCCATTCAATGTGAGCTCTGATATGAGCACAAAAAGAACACAATCATTGGAAACAAATTAGTTTTAGAGTGTTGAGAGATTTGACCGTAGAGGAATGTTTAGCCGCCATCTTGAATTGACCGGGTAGAACCCTCTTAAAGACAACACCAAAGTAATTAAAATATTAAACATAGGTTGTTGTAGTCAACAGTTGCAAACTTTTAGGTTAACATGTTAACCTAAAGCTATTATTATGTTATAGGGGAAATGGGTAAAACAAACAATAATAATCATTTTTAGTTTTTCATAAAATCAATTTCCATGAAATATGCAGGGTTTATAAGAAGGATAGTGCATTTATCTTTCATAACACAAATATAACGATACACTCTGTCAGAGAAATGGCACTACAGTCGTGTTATGATAAAGAGGAAATTGCATGGATGGAAAGGAAACACAAGATTGTCATAGCTGATTGTGTTAGGCCATTGTTTCAACTGCCTCCATTTATTTGAGGAATATTCTCCTCAGAGGTGCCATCAAAATTATCAAATGTATTTTTAACAATATTTGATTCCTCGTTCATGTTTTTAACTTTTCACTTCAGAAATCATACTAATATTATAAATGTGAAAGTTTTTGTATTTGTTTGTTTGTTTGAAGTTAAATCACGCATTAACTACTGGTCGAATCGGGCTGAAATTTGGCATGATGATAGCTCACATACCCGATTAACATATAGACATATTCTTACCTCGAAAAACCTTTCGGGCTCTGCTCCAGTGGCTCAAGAGTATCCTATGTTAACCTTATTAGAATTCATATTTAAAAAGAATTAAAGAATTTAGTCAGCTGTTTCAACTAAACCTGTTGGTTCTATGATATTAAATACTATTAAAAGTTAAAAGATTTACCAACAGAGTGTAGCACTATTATTTTATTTTTATTTTATGACAACAGCTAATTTGAACGTAACTATTTGAATATAACTAATAATTTTCGACAGTGTGCAAATAATTGAAAATTTACTTTTTTATACAGTTTGAGTGTAGTGGTAGTACATTACACTTCATACAAAATTGTATTTAAATCGGTTCAGTGGTTCAGCGTTATAAAGTAGCAGACAGACACACACACACACACACCATCTCATTTTTATATATTAGTATAGATTTGTTTAAGGCATGATATGTTTCTGTAAATGTGTAAAACTGTATCTATGTCATTGATTCAAGATTCAAGATTCAAGATTTATTGAGCCGTTCAGTTTACAACAATTGGCCAAGTCACTAACACTAAACTAAAATACAAAACAGAGATGCATTCCTCTTGATTTACAAAACAAAATGTCCAAAGAGCACATACAAATGTTCAAAGAGCACACCATGCATAATAGATTGCTTAGTAAGTATTTTATTTCAAAATTGTGACGCAAGCCATGCATGTATATTTTATGTTAACTGGCAATAAAGGAATATTTGATTTGATTTGATCTTAAGCCAACTGTTGATCAATCTAAGCTACGTTATTTCTAATACAACATATCAAAATCTAAGACCTGGTAAATAAGCATTGTTACTACACTAGGGGCCACTAAAGTCTGCAGTTGGTGGCACCCAATAGCAAGATTGGACTAGCGCGACGTTGCAACATCTCCCGTTCACTAATTTTTAGACACTAATTAAAACAAACTAAACTATATTTTCAAATCAGCTGGTATTATTAGATTTGGCAACACCGCTCGGTCATCATTGGCTCCTTCGAAGTCAGGTGGTAAATAGGCTCCTCCCTCAACTGCAGACTCT